GAGGACATGGGAGGGGCTGAGGCTGAGGATGGAGAGAGCAGGGGCTGGATGGGCATGGGGAGCTAGAGACAGGACAAGAGGTAGTCCCATCAGATGAACTTCCAGGCGCTGCCCGTGACTCGGACTTGATAGGAAAGTAATGTGAGGAAAAGCACCATGTGAAGAGACAAGCAGGAAGGGGTGGGAGACATGATGCAACAAGTGCCAGAAGCTTCTGTTGAAACTGAAAGGACCAGAGAATCCAGGGTTCAGTTGCCCATGCCAGCTGAGCTTCCTTGCCTGGGTCAGTCATGTCGACTATGTGGATGCTTAGCCAGTGAGGTCTGGAGAACTCCAGCCCGGAGAAGACAGGGCTTCTCTTCCTATGCTAGAACTTCATTGAAACCATCCCATTCCCTTTTGCCAGACTCGGTTCCAGTCTTGGTTCTGGAGCTGGTAGTTATGTATGTTCCAGGGCAGTTTAATTATCTTAAGCTTCTGGTTTTGTTTTTTTTTTTTGGCAGTTGTAGGGCTTCCAGATTTTTGAGTGGTTAATTATAGATAAGCAGCTCATGGGAACTTTTTCTGCCCAGGCTGGCTTCGAACAGTAATCCTCAGATCTCATCCTCCTGAGTAGCTGGGATTACAGATGGAAGCCAGCACCCAGCTGGTGGTGGTTGTTTTTGTTTTCTTTTTAAAATCAGTATGGTCAACACAAGTTTGTTGGAAACAGTATATGCTAAATGTTAAATTCTGGGACAATAGAAATTGAACAAAGTTCCTACTCTCAAGGACTGGAACAGCCAGATATTACTAATACAATAGAGAAAGATTCTGTAGCCCTAGGTAAGTTACACATTGTCGTACATGTACTGATTGCGCTATTGTAACCAAGGTAGATGGATATACTATAATCAAGTATTCGTTCACCCATTGAACATGTTGGGCATTGAGCATTTGTTGCCAATCACTGCTAAATGGCAAGGATAGAATGGGTCCTTTGTGGAGCTCGTTATTGGAGAATGAGAACAAGTTGGTAATTATCAGAGTGCCATGAGGAGAATGGTGGAGACCTCATAAGTGGTAGTTCCATATGGAGAGAATTTGGGATACTGGTGGGAAAGGAATGGGGATAGGGGGTAGACGTCAGGGCTGAGTTAAACTCCAGGACTGCCCCCCCGTAAAAATCCTTGGGGGGAGAGTAAGAGTATGCATCCCTCAGCTGTCTCCAGTGGAGACTATCCGATTCCTTATCAGAGACCACAGTTACTGAGAGGGTAACATTTTGCTTTTCCCAAGGTACCTTAGGATCTTTCTTCTTTTTTCTAACTTTGCTCATATAATTGTAAAAAAAGTCATTCCATTTGCTAGGTGCTGGTGGCTCACACATGTAAACCTAGCTACTCAGGAGGCTGAGATCTGAGAATTGTGTAAAAGCCAGCCCTGGTAGGAAAGTCCTTGGTGAGTCTTATCTCCAGTTAACCACCATAAAACCAGAAGTGGCACTGTAACTCAAAGTGGTAAATCACTAGTCTTGAGCAAAAAAGCTTTGGGACAGTGGCCAGGCCCTGAGTTCAAGCCCCACAACTGACAAAAAAAGAAGTCATTCTATTGGATTATCCTTGGATTTCCTACTGGATGTGCCATTTGACTACTGCTGATACCTTCACAGGTACAGTATTTTGGACCAGACCCTCATTGGATTAGGTTACTAATACATATGAAGTTGACAATGAAGTTGATTATGAAGTTGATAATGGATCACTGGTAATCTACAGCATGGCAGGCAGGGCCCAGCATGGAAAACATCCAAGTTATCAACAGTGATGGCTTGGAATGAGGTGCAAGGCATTGGAAGATCAACACACCACCCTGGGAGGTGTGACTTGGAAAGATCAAGATTGTAAAATGGGTAACAAACTTGAAGGAGGAAGGATTTCTTGGAAATGTGTGGGAACAAATGCATTCATGATTCCCCAAATGTCCACTAGAGGGCAACCACGGGGCTGGAAAAGATGGTTAGTCCCCAGTCACTCTTTATCTAGCTGCTTCTGGGCTTGTTCAAGAAGTTCATTGTTGGAAGAATCAATCCATGGCTGAGAAAACAGACCAGGTGCAGGAAGAGAAGTCAGGAGCACCTGATGTCCCAGAAAGAAGGAGAAGAGGCAGGAACAAACATACATCTCAGTCCCATGCAAAGAAGTCATTTGTCACTGAAGGAGAGATCAGTCACCGGGACACATTCTGAGCAGGCACCTAACGCCCCAGTCCTTACACCCTGCAACCATGACACAGCCTGCCCTGTGCCTCAGCCTTGCCTCTCACTTAGAGTGTAGAATGCTTGCCTCACATGCATGAAGCCCTGGGTTGGATTCCTCAGTACCACATACACAGAAAAGGCCAGAAGTGGTGCAGTGGCTCAAGTGGTAGAGTGCTAGCCTTGAGTGAAAGAAGCTCAGGGACAGTGCCCAGGCTCTGAGTTCAAGCCCTAGAATTACTGTGTTGCAGCATCCTGGGCTTCTCCAGGAACAAATGTGCCTCTCAGTGCCACACAAAGCAGCTGTTTCTCACTGTAGGAAAAATTCAGATCAGTCACATCAGGACACACCCTGAGCAGGCCACCTAACACCCCAATCCATAGGACCTACAACCATAACAGTCTTCCCTGTGCCTCAGCCCTGTCCCCCACTTTGGGTCACCAGGCTGTCAACTTTATCAGCTCTGAGGGAAGCATCCGGACTCTGGTCACTGTCATCTCCTTTGGTGGAAGAAAGGAACTGGTTAGAGAACACAGGCGTCACTGGAAAAAATCTGGGGTGGATGAGCTACCACAGATCCTGTCTGTACCACAACAAAGGTCACCTCCTCCCCCCATGCAGCCTTATACCTTCTCTTGTCACCTGTTGGGAGAAACACCATGTGAGAGGCAAGACACAAGCACTGCCATGAGGGCCCGGATGAATCCCTAGCCTTGACCTCATGGGAAGTTTCTAGAAATGTGACCATAGAACCAAGGAAGCATCAGGAGAGAGGAGTGCAACCGTTGGGAAGAGAGACCCCAGGACCTCCTGGAGTGTGACCTCAGTGGGCACCTGAGTCCCTGTGGGCCTGAGTGCTGCAATCAGTTCCCATCACCACCCTCAGGAGGGGGAATTTTGTGTCCTTCGTTTTGCAGGTGATTTGCAGAAGAGGAGCTGTCAGGCTGGGGAAGGCCCTGAGTGTGCTGCAACTTCCCATTAGGAGTGCAGCTCACACTTCTGCCTGGGGCCTGAAACCCACAAGTGGCCCAGGAACTCAGACCTCCACCTTCCTACCTCCAGTCCTCTTCCTCCACAGCACAAAAACCACCACAGCTACAATAACCAGAACTGCAAAGATGCCCAAGCCAATGAAAATTCCAGCCTTGGGACTGGTGGGCCGAGCAGGCGGCTCTGGGAAGAGAAGGGAAAGGAGGATGAGCACTGTGAACCCAGCTCTCAGTCCTTACCTGCTGAGAGCTGCACATGCCTCCTGCTGTCTCTGAGCACAGGTGTGCTCTGTGCCCTCAGCCTTGCTTACCCCATGTCAGGCTGAGGGGCTCAGGCAGCCCCTCATGCTGCACATGGCATGTGTATCTCTGCTCCTCCCCAGAAGGCACCACCACAGCTGCCCACTTCTGGAAGCTTCCATCTCCTGTAGGCCTGGTCTCCACCAGCTCCATTTCCTGGGTCTGTTCCTCTCCATCCCGCAGCAAGGTCAGGGTGATCTCCACAGGGTTGAAGCCCAGCGCCCGGCACCTCAGGGTCATCTTATGTTCAGAGGTGGGATGGATCTGGTCCAAAATACTGTACTTTAGTTTAGGCCTAGCAGGAACCATGCTCCAACAGAACTTAACAGTGCTCCAACAAAGCTCCACTCTGCTTGTGCTCCCGGGCACGAGGTCCCTGCTTCTGCTTCTGGAGTTGGCGCTGCTGATGTTGGTGAGGATGGTGGTGGGGGTGGAATTCCTGGGTCTGGCTAGAACATGGGTGAGGGTGATGTGTCCATAGGGCCCATGTGAGGATGAGCAGGTGTCAGGCATGGATTGTTATGAAGCAGATCATCATCATCCACCTGCCTTGCTGGACTAGTCCTGCTTGCTGCCTCTTAAAGCAGTTGTCCACACAGGCAGCGCTGAAGCTGTTCTCAGAGTACTGTCATCTTTTTTTAAAAAAATAATATATCCTGTCATTGCGAGGGTTTTCTTGTTTTGTTGTTGTTTACACATTCTGGCACTTTTCTTGTTCTCTCTGCATTTAAGCACAGAACTGATCATTAGATTTCCTGTCTCAGCTGCTGCACTCAGGTTCTGCCCTTTCTTCCTGTCTCATTGCTTCAGGATGGGGAAGCATTTCCCTAGGGCACAGGGAATCTCCTTCAGATCAGAGCTGAGTGTAAATGATTGCATTAGCTGAGCCAAACCCTAGAGACTATGGGGTCATAATATACACTTCCAGAGCCTAGCACAAGTCCTCTTCCACTGAGCTACATCCACAGCCCTTCGTTAATCACCAAGGCACTGGTGCCTCATAGCTGTATTCCCAGCTGCTCAGGAAGGTGAGATTTGAGGATTAAAGTTTGAAACTAACCTCAACAAGAAAGTCTGTGATTATTACCTCCAATTACCTACCAACAAATCCAAAAGTGCAACTGTGCCTCTAGTAGTAGAGTGCTAGCCTTGAGAGAGGGAGAGAAAAAAATCTAGGACAGTGCCCAGGCCCTGAGGTCAAGACACAGAACAGGTACAAAATAGTTTTTTTGTTTGTTTCTTTTAAAATTACTCACTGATGTGGAACCGGCTGGCCTTGAACTTGCTATGCAGCTCATGCTGCCTCTGATCATATTTCTCCCACCACACTGGCACCAGAAGAATGTGTTTTGCTGAAATGAATGATGCTAATGTGTTGTGAGTTTGATGATGCTACAAGTGCAAATTCTGGGTTGACTCTGGGAATGTTGAGACTTATTACTCACCCAGAGCTGGGAAGCATTTGGAAATTCCTTTCCTGCGTAGCCACCCAAGTTTGTATGGACACTGCAAATATGTTTCTAGAGCAGAAGTTCCAACCTATCACAGAGGCCTTTGCAAAGCCAGAGAAACTGGGGCTGATGGGGTCAGGTGGCCAGGATAGTGAGAACTAGGGAGACAGCAGGAGAGTGCACTGAGCCCAAGAGACCACAGCTGCTCATGGGTTCCCAGGGGAGAATGAACCACAAGCTGACCTGCACAGGGCTGCAGCACAGCAGGGAGCAGCCTGCAGGTGGCAGGCCTGTCCCTGGACACTGGCCCAGCTAGATGTGGACAGAGAGGTCTCCTTGAGGGAAGGGGTTCCCTGTGTTCTGTGCAGTGCAGCCCAGGGTTGGCAGGCAGAGGACACTTAATCAATGTTAGTTGCTGGAAGGAAGGAGCCCTGTTGTCTGCATTGCAAAGTGGAGAAATGACAACCCCAAGCCCTTCTAGCTCTGCTTCCTGTTGCTCAGATTCTTCTCTTGCCTTTCCTTGCACTTCTCAGCATCCATGGGAACCCTGGTACATTCTGAACTGCTTGAGATTTATTACATTCTCCGTGTGTGTGTGTGTTTGTGTGTGTGTGTGTGTGTGTGCTGATTCTGGGACTTGAACTCAGGGCCTGTCCCTGAGCTTTTTTGTTCTAGGCTAGTCTTCTTCCATTTGACTCACAAGTCCACTTCCAGCTTTTTGGGGGTTAATTGGGGATAGAGGTCTTCAGGACTTCCTTACTGGGCTGATGCCAAACCACAATCTTCAGATCTCGGCCTCTTAGTTCACTAGAATTAGTGATGTCAGCCACCAGCACTTAGCTCAGACCTGAATGTTTTAGTCCTATCAATAAATTAGATGTGAAGAAAGGCTTTAAATAATGACTTTACCCCACTCGGCGCCACTGCACATATTGAGAGTAGAACCTGGAGTTGAACAGAGTGGGATCCAAACCCCTTCCTGAGAATAAGTGAAGAGGGATGGTGTATTTGTTACTGCCTGTGTGAATTTTCTGGGGAAGTACAATGCAGCCTCATACCCCAAATTGGGATAAGGCCAACAGACCCAAAAACTTACACAAATTTTAATGGATGAGATAAACTGAGGTATTAGTAGCCATAAACAAAGCAATAGACATCTATGCCTAAAAAGGGCTGTATTTACCCAAAGGTTTTCAAGTACCAAAGCTGACATCTTCCTGCCTACTCAGCCCTATTGTGTGTGTGGGGTTTGTGTTTGTTTCTTTTTGGGGTGTTTTTTTTTCATCTATTCTGAGTCTTGAACTCTGAGCTCTTTTGCTCAAGGCTAGTGTTGTACCACTTTGAGCCACAGCAGTCCCTTGGGTTTTGGTATGGTTCATTGGAGATGTGTCTCATGAACTTCTCTGCCTGGGCTGGCTTTGAATGGCAGTTCTCAGATCTCAGCCTCCTGACTGTGTAGGATACTGGGTATGATCCACCAGAGCCAGGCTTCTGCACTTATTTATATGGTTCTACATTGATAACAAAAACCGACAACAAAAAGCTGGATATATATCGCCATCATGTGGTCAAATTTGGAAACTACAGGCCAGGATATATTAAACCTAAACTCTGGGACATTTGTATGTCTACCCATTTTTTCCCTCCTTATTAAACACCTTGTTCGACTTAAAAATTTTTTTTCAGAGATTGGAAATGTGGCTTAGTGGTAGAATGCTTGCCAACATGCATGAAGCCCTGGCTTTGATTCCTTCAACCACATAGAAAAAGCTGGAAATATGGTAAAAAGAGAGGAGTTCTAGCCTTGAACAAAGGAAGCTCAGGCACAGTGCCCAGACCTGAGTTCAAGCCCCAGAACTGGCTAGTGACTCATGCCAGAAGTGGTGTTGTGGCTTAAATTGGTAGAGTACTAGCTTTGAGTGATAAAGCTCAGGGAGAGTGTTCAAGTCCTGAGTTCAAGCCCCAAGGAATGACACAAAAAGAAAATCACTATCAGCATCAGATAGGGTAGATCCTGCTGTACTCCTACCTACTCAGGAGACTTAAGGCCCAGCATCATGACTTGAAACCAGCACTGACAGGTAAGTCTGTGGGCTGCTTATACCACACTCTAACCTTGACCAAGAACAAGCTGAGAGGTAGCACACAAGCCGTAAATTCAAGACTAGCACATATACAAAAAAAAAAAATTTCTGGTGCTGTGAAGGTGGCTCCATGGTAGAGCACCTTGTCTTGCATGCCTGAGGCCCAGGGTTCAATTCCTCAGCACCATTTAAGCAAAAAGCTAAAAGCCAGGCGTGGTGCTTTGGCTCAAGTAGTAGAGCCGTAGCCTTGAGCTGAAGCACTGAGGGACAGCGCTCAGGCCCAGAGTTCAGGCCTCATGACCCAAACATAAAAAAAAAATTTTTAAAAATCCCTCAAATGAGATCTATTCTTCAGGTCTCTTCTCAAAGGCTCAACTCAGGAAATCCCAGATTCCAGGCTGACAACAGAACACAGGTAAGGACTTTGCACAAGGACATCTTCCAGTTTACCAACACTTTCTCTAGATATGCGTTTGCCAATTTCAACA